TTTCGCCTAGTTAGCATTTGTTTACTGGAGATATTTTTTACTCTTCGTATTGTATCTTGCAGCCTTAATACAAGCAGGGCATCCAATCACAGACGGAAGATGAGGATTGAGACAGAGACTGCAGGATGACAAAATAAGTTTGATTTATCGGTTCTTATTTATTTATGTATGCCAACCAACATCATGGATTATTACACAAAACAAGCATGGTTGCACGCGCACAAACATATACCTATATACGCGTGTAAGCACTCACGTACACAAACATATACCTATATACGCGTGTAAGCACTCACGTGCACAAACATACACCTATATACGCATGCAAGCACTCACGCGCACAAACATATACCTGTACGCACGGGAACACGCATACAAACAGATACCTGTATGCACGCGAGCAAGCACACACAAACATATATCTATATACGCGTGCAAGCACTCACGTGCACAAACAGATACCTGTACACCGGGAACACGCATACAAACAAATATCTATATGTGCGCGAGCACACACACACACAAACAGATAACCTGTACGCGCGGGAACACGCACACACAAACATGTACCTACGCGCACAAACAGATGCCTATACGCGCGCGAGCACGCACACACAAACATATACCTATACGCACGCGAGCATGCACACAAACATATACCTACGCACCTACGTGCACAAACAGATACCTATGCACGCGAGCATATGCACTTACGTGCACAAACAGATATCTATATGTGCGCGAGCACACACACACACACACACACACAAACATATACCTACGCATGCACGTTTACAAATAGATATCGGTACGCGAGCACATTATGATTATGGGAAAACTTATTCCAGAAGGCTACGCTACGCAGTATCGCAGTAATTATGGCAACAATTGGTGAGAAGCACGTGGAAATGTGGCATTTAAATGAAAACTCACTGGAACTATCCGTCAGATAGAAGAAATTGGGCTGGAAGTGAGGGATGATTGGTGTGGTGTTTTAATGTTACCATGACTGTGTTGTCTGTACCATGATGTACTGTTGCAACAAGGGTAAACTGCATTTGAGGAATATAGGGAGATTTCGTCTACGTATTTATACCAGAATAATTACATAGCAATATTAGCCATTGGCAAAACCAAGATGGATTTGGGTACGAGTAAATGGAGGTAGTAAGAGTAGGCCTAACTCTAACTCTAACTCTAACTCTAACTCGGCCTAACTCTAACTCTAACTCTAACTCTAACTCTAACTCTAACTCTAACTCTAACTCTAACTCTAACTCTAACTCTAACTCTAAC